CCATAAACCGGATCGAACTCACCTGGTTTTTAAAAAGTTCGAACCGACACTATCTATGGTGTCGAGCTTTCTAGGGAACGTTTGAAACAAGTTGCAAGAAGACTACAAACTAGATTTTAGATATACAGTAAACTCAAAATGCCCCATTTTTCTTTAAATGTGATAATCGATTGAAATATGATGAACGAAATCATATTAAAACACAAACATTTTTATATGACTCATTCATTGACATGTTTAATGAACTATGTATAATTATTACTAGAAAATATCCGAGAGTTAGATTTAATACTAAGTATTATTCAATGTATATCGAAAAATCTCTTATTCAATATTTTATGCCAAATAAAATGAAAAAAGATTATTTGACAAATTGAAGAAGTTCCATTGAAAATCAAGTTCACTTACCATCTCATACAGATCTTGCAATACATTAATACCTTGAAAATCACAATTGGCTATTTTTTTTGTCGTATCACAAAAACAATTACAATCAAGAAATTCTAATCGAAATTTATCTTTAATATAAACATGTGATCGATTTGATTCACTATTTGACTTTTGTTCATTCGTATATGAATTATTTATTGGTCTATTATCATGGATTGAAGAGGTACTATTTGATGAACTATCAGTATCATTACAACTAACATTTGAACCCATATAATATGAAAAATAGAGAATGAACAATGATGCAATATTATTAAATAAAATATTCTATGAGAAAACAATAAAGGCGCTAGAGAAATATCAATATAAAAATTAATGAAAAAATAACATTAAAGATTATTATCAGATAATAAAAAATATTCAGATTTCGAAGATAAAAATTCATTTAATTCTGTTAATATTGCTTTTTCACGTCGTCGTCTTCGAGATACTATTAATTTCATTGTAGAAGTTATATCTTTGTTATTTTTATTTGATGACTCATCATTGATATGTCGTACATCAATTACTTGAGATGAAGATGCCGATCGTCTACTAATCATACTTAAAATAACTAAAAGAATAATAATACCTATTGTAATAGCTCCAAATGCAACGTATCGTAATCGTCGCCATAAAAGATCACGTTCTTGAGTTTTACGATAGTTAGTAATACCTATCAATACAAGATTTTTCTGAACAAGTTGATTAAAACAAAGGAAAATCTTCTATAATCAATAGTGTATCACTGATTGTTACGAACTAAGCGATTAATTTATCTCAAACTACTTTGCTTACTCAATGGACTATAATCCAAGTTAAAATTGTCTAATGCTGGCAAGTCATGAATTGATCGATACCAATTTCGTTGATATTTTATATACATATACGAGATTTCATTCTAAGAAAACGTCAAGCAGGACATGGTTTGATTCAGCTTTGTTCTTTTAGATACAAATGTTTTTTCTTTTAAAGTATTCATCCTAGGAAGTCTCAGACGTGATAAATGCTAGAAGATTGAAAGTTTGCGTGGTATATACTTCGTCAAGAGTGTAGGTCAGAGACATAACTCTGCTTCAAGTACTTAAGTAGAGAGAGAATTGTGATAGATGGCATATATATATATCGCCTTTGAACTTCATAATTGTGGACAAGATGAAGTTTCTACGTCAGCTAACAGCTGATTATATAGCGTTGTATTTCAGCTATCCACGCAGCTAATTTCATTGAAGTTCATTAGTTCTCTCTAGTACTGTGACTGTTCATTTGAAGAAAAATCGTCTGGTATCATTTTGAAACAAGAACGCAATAAGTAGTTCAGTGAATGCAGTTAAAACTCTTAGAAAAAGTTATCTCTACAGTTAAACATTAGTACCTATAAATTTCATAAACAAATTGTGTACTGATGGACAATGACATTGTTATGACCATCATATTGATGAGGCAGACGATTCAGAAACATCCAGAGACACCAGTATTCAGACAAATGAGTCCATCTTTTGAGTGAAGAACGATCATACACTGAACTTCAGTTCCATTCAGAAACATCATGAATTCATCATGTATTTGGTAAAAAGTAGTGCAAAATTGAGTAGGCAGCCCTTTTCAGGTTAAAAAAGCTTAATGCAAAAAAGAAGTTATCATCCATCATAGTTTTATTTGTACTTAAACTATCGAAGCAGAACTGTGTGTCTGATCTACACTCCTCACTAAGTATGTGCACGAAAATTTTCAAGTCTTCAGCATTTATAATCCTTGAGATTCTCTAGGTCGGAGACTTCTATCTACTATTGCATATTAAGAGCGAATCTGTATTAGAAATAAATTATTCGAAACATATCCTAATATGCCAAATACACAGTTATTTCAATTGCTATTGTCGAAATCGACTAAAAAGAGTTACATGTGTCTCCTAACAAAACTTTATAACGGAATTTTTTAATTTAATTTTTTTCCGAAAAAAAACTTCGCCATAGACCCAAAATTTAATACACAAGGGTCTTCTTCTTTCACGGTAACACACCATGCTGAGATCTCATTCTAGTTCATATTCGTATCTACTTTTATCCATGATATGGAGTTCTATATTATGAATAGTTACGCCAGTTCTCCTATGAATACGACAAATTTTAATCATACGATTTCTCTGTATATGAAAGAATGAATGTAATCATATCTATTGCAACAAACAGGATCAGTCTAAATTTTTCATAGCATATAATTTTTCTTCTATATGCTTACTATCAATGAAAATAGTGAGGATCAATTGAGAACTTGACTTCATCAGCTCAGATTAATTTCAAATGACTACTGCGACTTATTCTTCATACGATCGAAAACTGAATTGTTTCTCTCTAATTAAAACGTCAAATCTGACTATATTCAAAATTCTATAAAAATTTTTACCAAATACAAGGTTTTCATTTTTGCTAAGCATTTCTTCTGATCGAAAATGTAATTCATCAAGTTGTTCACGTCTTAAACTTGCATGTTCAAGTGCATGTCGAAGATCATTATCCGTTTGATCAACGATTTGATGCATAGCATCTAAATCTTGTTGACTTTTTTGTGCATTTGTACGATTATCAAGTTCTACAGCTGATTTAATATTCAATAATGATGATACTTTTTTTATTGATGAATTATTTTTTTCTTTTGATTTTGAATTTATTAAAATTTTATGATTTTGATTATTTAAAATAATTGGTGCTGATTGACTAGATTTTAATGATAATTCATTAGATATTATTCTTCCAAAATGATTCAACATTTTCTTCTTTTTCTTCATATACAAAAAGATCTAATAAAATTTATTAGTTAAAACAAAATTATTCTTTTTTATGGATTCAGGATAATCTATATAGATACAAAGCGCGTAACCTATTTTGACAGTTTGACTATCTTTATTTTTATTTCTTAATATACATTTATATATATTCAATAGACTATCTATTTTTGAACATGACGGAATGACCATTGATAACGTAATCGTTCTCGTGATCGCAATCGAATATGACAACATAATGTTTCAATAATAGCTTGACGAAAATTACGTGAACTATAGACATATAGAAATGGATTTAACAATGAATTAACATAGCCCAACCAAAATATGATACATTCAAGACCATTTGGAAATTTATTTGGATAAATTATTGATGTTGGATAAGATATTGTAAATGGAAGCCAACAAATAAGAAAAACAGCAAGTAAAATACCTACACAAAAAACAAATCATATTAACTAATTTAATTATTCTAGACTATAAAATACTTTATTAAATATAGACTTATTAAGGACTTAGTCTTACAAGGGAAAGGCTCTAACTGTCTAATCCCTTTTTTCATTAAATCAAGTGGATTGTAGGTAATCGATCATGGTGATTTCGAATATCGATACGAGATCGATACATAGGACTCCAGCGACTCGTTTTTTGAAAAACCAATTTTACCTAGTGAAAAGCTTTTGTGACTCATCCAAATTGTAGAGCATATCGAGTTTGCTATAAAACAATATTTTTTCTGTTTAGAAATCATCACTGAAGCCATCAAAAACATAATTCTTTGTTGTTCCTTTCTGATTTTGACAGAAACTAAATTGACTTCTTTTTTTCTCATTTTCTTTTCTAAAGAAATGTATTTGAAAGATAAGTGTCACTTGCACTGAGAATTGGTGTACATGGTCAGGTTAACCTTGCACATGCAAACCACTAGATCTGATGAAAAAAAAACCGGCTAGAGACTTTTCCTGGTTAGTTTTGAGAGAATAATACCATAAAATTATTCAGAGAAAGTACATGAGATTGCAAACTTTTTGAATCAAATAATGAATGGCATGGATAATTTGCACTTGATGTACTACGAAAATGAGCTACTAGTTAGTGAATACTACACATGACTATATATCTGAAACGAATAAAAGTCATATACGCTTTGTTGTCAAAGCATATCATTAAACGAGTAGTAGTATTGTTCAATTGTTAGAAATTCTGCTACAACTAAACCTTCCTAGAATCAATAAAAAGAATTTTTTCACTCGGAAAAACTGTTTTTTATGCAGAAAGTGGGTCTTCGGAGTCCTAGCTGTTGGTTTCGTATTGATATTTGGGATCAACATAGTCCATTGTCTATAACCCATTAGATTTAATGAAAAGTGCGATTAGATAGTTAGAGGCTTTCCCTCGTTCATATGACGTTTACCTCCGAGAAAAGCTAAAGACGGCTTTTGGATTTCTTCTATCATCATGATTAAATTAAAATTCTGAAAAAATTTATGTGATAAAAGTAAATAATTGGATACATTTATATTGAAGACCATAAAAACAATAAAACTTCTCTTATTCATTGTCAAAGGATTCCTTTTTTTTTGCATCATACATTTTCTAAAACAAGTAAAACTTGTTCTTGATAAATAATACTCAATTTCAATTTTCTATAATTAAATAAAAATTTTATATATTGTTTTGTTTTATTCATACCGAGCATTCGAC